TGATACAGAAAGTAAAATTCTTTTAGTTCAACAAGTCATTCAACTGCTAGTAAGTTGTGACACCACTCTGTTCACTAGTCCAAAAGATTTGTTAATGTCCAGCATGACCCAAATAATTCTCAAGTGAAAACATTAGGATTAATCTCTCTCACACTCAGTAATGTGAGTTCATTTCTAGAGCCACCCCACTTATAAAGTAACCTAATGCACAATCGACTATTCTTCCCAGAGTCCTTAGGATAGAATCGTGGGGGCTTTTTGAAAAATCTCTGTTCTTCCTTCCATTCTCAAAGCCATTGTTTCTGGGCACAGACTAACATGGACATCAGTGATTTCAAATGTTAGTGACCTAACCCTATAGGCTTGATTGAGATTGGCTTCATTACATACATGTGATGAACGTTATGGCTGCCTGGTTAGGTATATTCCACTATTCTAAGTTAGTGCTACTACTATAAGCTCAGGGAAGTTGGCCTTAACTATAGTGACCAACCCTTTAATTAAACAGTACATGTCTTTGGGGGTAGGGGATGGGAGTCTGGGTGCTAGGGGACCTAGAATAGTCAGGAAGAATGACGAAGTGTGGGAACTTTGGCTCTGCAATTCTTGTGATTTCTTCTCCATTTAAACCATCACAAATAGGCGCTGTAGAGTTCATGGTATAATGAAAACCATGAGCTTTGTAATCACAAGGGTTTGGATTTGAACTCTGACCTCGTCACTTACTAGATTCTGTGAAGCTTTGGTTCTCAATTTATTTTTTTTCTTTTTTGCAGGGGAAGATTCACCCTGAGCTAACATCTGTTGCCAATCTTCCTCTTTTTTTTTTCCTCCCCAAAGCCCCAGTGCATGGTTGTATATCCTAGTTGTAAGTCGTTCTAGTTCTTCTATGTGAGCTACCACCACAGCATGGCAACTGACAGACAGGTGGTATGGTTCCTTGACCAGGAACCAAACCTGGGGCGCCAAAGTGGTGAGAGCACTGAACTTCAACCACCAGGTCATCAAGGCTGGCTCTCAGTTTCTAAAAGTACAATTAGAATATCAAATCCTTCAGTTTATGGGAGATTATTAACGTGGTTCCTGGCACACCGTTCTCTCCAGTATCTAACAATGTGGTCTGCTCCACCTTTACAACACTTGAGTCAGGTATTCTAAATTATAACTGTCTCCTAGGTCACATCTTACTTATTAAAGCAGCCTCTCACATGCCCGCTCCAGCAATTCGGACCAGCCTGCCTCGCTGGCTTTTCTAATGAATGATGTGAAATGCAGGCCCAGTCGTGCTTTGAGGGAAGAAGAGAAACTAAGAGCCAGTTGTTATAAAGTCAGAACTCAAAGGAAAGAAAAAAAGGGATAAACTTACTGCTAGATGAGTAAGAGAGAGTTTTAGAAAGAGAGGGAAGAAAGTACTTTTCACAGGAAATCTGATGATGCAAAGAAGAGTAATGTGGTCACAGTGGCACCTGAAGGTAGACCTGTTTCATGCTCGTTGAGGATGAGGAGGGATGTAAGGGTAGTGAATAACTTCTTCGCGATCCTTTCAAATTCTTCTCAAGTTAATCTTGGACATGTAGGACTAGGAGAGGAAATGAAAATCAAAACAGCTGGTAACTTAACTATGCAGACTTTAGGAACGGACTGTTTAAAAAAATAAGAAGCAGAAAGTCCCTTAAGCCATATCAGATTCAGGTCACTCGTAACTTCCCTACTGTAGGACTGAATCCTGGTGGCTTCCATGGCTCAAGTGAAATTTTCTCTCCAGAATTTGATCAGTGCTTCCCTATCAAGTTATCAAAGTAATTAAACAACCATGAATATAATTTTTGCCTAATAGATTGACAGAATTTTAAGATTGTTAATTGCCAGTATTGGCTGTGTGTGGAGCAACAGTCTCTCCTCCAAGGATCGTAGTAATGTGATAAGATCAGCCTCCCCGGAGAGTACTTAGGCAGTATGTATTCACTTTCTTAATTTGCAAAGCCTTTTACCCAGCAATTTTGTTTCTGTGAATTTATCATAAGGAAATAACAAGAAAAGTCTACGAAGTTGCTTGTACAGATATGTTCATCACAGTGTTATTCATAATACTGAATATTATCATGGAAGCCATGTAAATTATCATCATCAATGGAGAGTTGATTAAACAAATTATAGTACAACCATACAATGGCATGTTGCTCTGCAGATTTAGAAATAATAATGAAGATTGGTATTTATCATAAAGGAAAGATGCCCATGATATGTTAAGTTTAATTTTAAAAATTTTAGAAAACATGTATAACATGACATAATGTATAACATAATATACATGTTATATATGTTATACATATAATGATATATATTTGTATGTGCATAGAAAAAATATGGAAAGGTACATATCAAAATATTAATAAGAGGTGGTGAACAGGTTGTAGTCTTTACAGAAGTCAAAATATAATGATGTACAATGAAATTTATATAATGTTATAAACCAATGTTCCCTGAATTAAAAAAAATGTTGATAAGAGTTCTCTCTGGGTGATGGGATTAAAGGTAATTTTCATTTTTTTCTTTACACTTTCTGTATTGTCTGAATTTATTTCAATTAATGTTATTTTTATTACAAGAAAAAATAAAGCTGTGTTCATTTTGAGAAACAGTCTAATAAAGAAAAAATCACAATTCTCTTCTATACGCACTTCTTTTTAGTGAATGAAAACCTCTTTAGTGTGTACTTCCTTTTACTGGTGTTAATTTTTATTCAGATTTTAATTTAGGGCATTGAAGAATGTGGGCTGGGAAGAGGGAAACAGAGCAGTTCCTAGGCTCTTTGGGCAGTTTTAATTCTAGGCAGAAGGAACAGCTCTGGACTCCTTCCCACAAGGCTGCCCCTTAAAATCTCTTTGCTTATCTGAATTTCTGTCTTCCTTGACCAGTTACAAAAAGATTCATATAACGTTTTTTGAAATAGCCAATTCTCCTTGCTGATAGAAGATATTCCTTGACTAAGAAAAAGTATATTGCATCTCAGTAGTTCATTTGCTTCCTCTACTTGTGCAGTGTGATGTAAATAACCTAAGCTGTATAGTGAAAAAGTGGTCAGAGCAGGATGAAATTGGTCAGAAAAGACTTCCATTCATTTATGTTCTGCACAAACATATATTCAGCCACTTTGATGTGCTAGGCACTAGGGCAGTGGAGATACAAAGATAGAAGACATGGTCCCTTCTTGGGAAGTCTTTACACGCTACAGGGAAATAATTAGAGTAAGGAGTCTGTGTGCAAGATGAAATGGGAACTCAGAGGAAGGAGTGCCAAAATATTACTGGGGGAGTTGGTGTAGTGCAGACCCCTGAAGACTACATAGGGATTTGTCATAAATATGGTTTCTTGAAGGTAAGTTTTCACCAAAGAAATGAAAGATAAGTATTGTTACAGAGCGGCTAAAAGGTCAAGGTGGCAAATAACTAAACTCCTAAACTGATCCTGCTAATTAAAAGGGTTAGAGGAGACGATTCCCCACTTCCTCTGGGGCCCACTCCCTCCCAGGTAATTTCAGAGTGTGGTAACAAAAGCGCTTGATACTGGTGCTGAGGCCTGCATTGTTCTTCATGGAGCAATATGCTTTTGGCGGGGACTTGCACATGACTGTGTATTAACGGTTGTGTGTTAATGTCAAGGTGGCGTGTGATAGAATTTTTAAGCCAGAGAAGAAGGGGCTGTGATATCAGGGAGGTGGAAGACAGGAATTGTCATGTGGATTCTGGGGTAGCTCGATCTAATGAGTCTTGGAATCGGCATTTTAGAGGAGGAAGGACTAGAAAAGACCTGATCCAATCTCCTTGCTTTACAGATTTTAAAAAAGTTACCAAGATTGCCAGAGTCTTAACAACTGCCTTCTTCTTTGATAATAAACTATTCAGTGTAATGTTCTGTGTGGTGGTGCTCTAGTATATCTCTGTAAAACCTAATGGGAAGATGAATTTTGTTCATCTGGGTAGTAGAGAGGTACAGCTCTGTTTCCTAGCTCTAGCTCATTCGTTTCTTGTGTTTATATAGTCAAAGGTCAAAAGCTGACTGAAAACAGATGAGCCCTTTCCTTCTGCATCATTTTTCAACTTTTCAGAGGACTTAAAATAAACTATCATTTCCCATTATTTACTTAAGAGATTTGTTTTGCAGAATTTGTAGCTCTTGGGAGCCCCTCTGTTGTTCTTACAAAGTACACAGTCTGATTCTTACTCATCTGTCAACATCTCAGGAATGCTAGTATTAATATGCATGGTTTAAATCACCCAAAACAGAGTTAAGAAGGCTGAATAGGCCAGTAATGTTTGTGACTTTCCACAAATATCTCATGTGTACAGAATCAGGAAATCACTCTTCCTTGAGATAGAGGAAATGAGACAGAGAGAGGAATGAGAGAATTATATCAGTTCTGAGACCAAGAATTAATTTCTCAGAATAAAAGAACTTCCTTTTCGGGGCTGGCCCCGTGGCCCAGTGGTTAAAGTTCTGCACGCTGTGCTTCGGTGGCACGGGTTCATGGGTTCAGATCCTGGGTGTGGACCTACTCCACTCATCAGCCATGCTGTGGAGGCATCCCACATACAAAATAGAGGAAGATTGGCATGGATGTTAGCTCAGGGCGAATCTTCCTCACATGCACAAAAAGAGAACTTCCTTTTGTAACCAGCATTTCATCTGAGACAAATAATGACACATTCTTAAAACCCACTGCAATCCTAGACTTCTAAGGGCTTACAACAATGTATAGCTGACCTTGTGTAGATAAGGGTTTGCACTAATTTTCACATGAATTTTCTTCTGCTGAACTCCAATTCAAAGTCTCTATGAAACACTCTCCCCAGATACATGCATACTGAATCCTCGCTGGTCAACCTCTCTAGATAAACCTGATTCTAAACTCTGCTTGCCCAATGACTGTGCTATAAAGACTCAATCTGACTGTGATAGCAATTGCAGATTTTACTAGATACAGTTTCTTTCTTATTTATTTATTTATTTATTTAGTGAGGAAGATTGGCACAGTGTTAGCTCAGTGACAGTTTTGTGAGGAAGATTGTCACTGAGCTAACACTGTGCCAGTCTTCCTCTATTTTGTATGTGGGATGCCTCCACAGCATGGCTGATGAATGGAGTAGGTCTGCACCCAGGATCCAAACCTGTGAACCCCAGGCCGCTGAAGCAGAGTGTGTAAAGTTAACCAGTATGCCACTGGGCTGGCCCCTAGATACAGTTTCTATTTATTCATATTATAGGCTTTCTCAGATTAGCATTTTAAAAGGTATTGAAAAATGAAGATGCCAGTGCCAACATGGGGAACACCTTGTTAACATTCATTTAATCAAATATTTATTTAGTATCGCTGCAAGTAAACTTCCCCTCTCCATGACTGCTTTCTAAATTGGCATAGCATTTTGTGTTAAATGTGTAACCCTGGGGCAAACAAATCCTAAGAAGGACAGATTTTGTCATGCCTTATGTGACCTCCTCCTCTTAAGTGTGGACTGGACCTAGTGACTTCTAAGAGTGAAATATAGCAAAGGTGATGGAATGTCGCTTCTATGACTAGGTTAGAAAAGACTCTGACTTCTGTCTCCATTGTATTCCTCGCTTGCATGCTTTGGCGAAGCCATATTGAAGAGGCCCACCCGGCAAGGAACTGAGGGTGGCCTCTAGACAAAAGCAGTCTAGGAACCGAGGCCCTCAGTTTACCAGTCTGTGAAGAACTTTATCCTGCAACAACCATGTGAGCTTGGAAGCAGATCCCTCCCCAGCCAGGCCTTCAGATGAGATTTGAGCCTTGGGTGACATCTTGATTTCAGCCTTGTAAAAGACTCTGAGACAGGGGACCCAGGTAAACTGTGCCCAGATTCCTGACTCACAGAAACTGTGAGATCATAAACATATCTTGTTTTAAGCTAAGCTTTGGGGTAATTTGTTATGCAGCAGTCGATAACTAATAGGGAAATTATCCTTGTTCTTAAGGAGTTGACAGTTTAGCTGGATTCAGAACAGTAACTATAGCACAATGTTAATAAAAGAAGTGCCGTCTTGAGTAACTTGGAAGAGCTTTAAATCAGGGACTCAATTCTGTGATTCTGGCATTTTAATTCTAGTCTCAAGCTAACTTGATTTCTGTTCTTATAGATTTTCCAGCTGGAAAGGCTCTCGAGCAACTCCATCCCTTTAGTTCTTACCCTGTAATCCGTGTGAAAAGAAGAATGATGATACATATTGTAATTTCCCAATAGACTACATGTTCCTTGGGGGTAAGAAGAGTTCTTTTTTTCTTTCCTCTGTCATGGCACCTAGTTCATGCTCTTTCATGTGAGGGAGGGCTCACTAATTATGAAGGATAAACTCTGTTCTCACAGTTGGTAAAAAAGCAAAAAAACACATGAAAGACTTCTGAATTTCCTGAAAAACCTGAGAATTCTGGCGCACGTGCTGGAGAGAGGCTGGAGCGAGGGGGTGCCAAAGCGGTCCTACGTAGAGCTCTGACGCACGGTTCATGAGGCAAACATAGGAAACTTTGGAAGACTTCCACGGGTCATATTAATTGTAACACTGCATACTTCCTCCAGAAGCTTTCCAGAATGACTAAAACAACAGCTTTGAGTGTTATTTTTACTGACTATGGCAGATGCTGCTTGTGCTCTGCCTATAACCTCTAGGTACTCGCCATCACAGTATATGCCAGGGCAACCCACCGCAAGCACGCACAACTTCCTACTACAACCTACCGCAAGCACGCACAACTCCCTACTACAACCTACCGCAAGCACGCACAACTTCCACTTGAGGGCTTCAGCCAGGCGTGCAGGCGCAGTGCTCAGCCAGCGGCCATGTGAACGGCAGGAAAAACCCCAAAACTTCCTTGCCTTTCTTCGATGGGATGACTCTGAGCGTGTTCTGTGCTATCATCCATAGTTGCCCACTGAACCCAGGTACTCACAGGGGTAACCCACTTAATAACACCTCCTTGGGTCATCCTCAGAACAAACTACTTGGGCTTAAATCTTCATCTCAAAGTTGGCTACTGGGGAAACTCCACTTAATACCCTAGTGAACAAATAAAGATAGGAGGCTTAAGTCAGAGTCTGATTTAATTAGTCCGGTTGAAGCTGTCTTGCTTAAGCGCCTCAGGAAAGCACTAGATGTAACTTGGTGAGGTGGGATCAGTGGACAAGGCTGGGAAGCGCAGGACATGTAAGTTCACTTGCTTGCTGGAGAGGGTGAAGACTGGGAGCTCAGATCCAGCTGCTGGTGCTGAGAGAAAATGAGGCTGCAGGGCAGTAGCCCAAGGGGGTGGCAATAAAAGGTTGTGGTTACGTCAGCAGTCAGCTTCAGATGTAGGGCCTGTAGGGGTCTAGTACCCTAGCAGAGGGGAGAGCACAGAAAGGGCAACTTGGGGTTGCGTTCGGATAGCCAGGCAGCCAGGCGGTGACCCAGAGCATTATCAGCAGCGAGCTGGACTCAGGCACTCAGTCAGGTCTGAGGGAGCCTTCCAGTCTTTGAGGAGCAGCTGCTGGAACAAAGCAAGGACACAGTCCTAGAGAGACTTTGGTACTGACCCTGAGACGACACATGGACTCAGGCAACAGGGACAAAAAAGAAGTGAGTCCAAGATCAGGACCATGGAGACACGGATGAAGAGCACGGGCTTTGGAATTGGAGACTCTTTGGTTTGAATCGTAGCTTCCCAGCTTTCCAAAAGGGAGACTTTGGGCAAGATGTTTAGCCTTTCTGAGCTCAGTTTCCTCACAGGAGAATGAAGACAATTGTTCTTCCCTCAGAAAGTCGTGGAAAGATTTTCACAATAAAATGTAAAGTTGGAATACAAGGTAAGTGTACCATTTCTAGGACTGAGTAAGCAGGGTCAGTGACCCTGAGAGGCCACGCTTTCCACTGGAGCCAGAACTTGCCTTGAACATAGACAGAATGTAACAGTGTTCTAAAAAGCATGAATGATCAAGGAACCCTATCATATCCTTTCTTAGTCATGGTGCTTCCCTTTTGGTGAAAATGATGCATTCCAGCCGGAGGAAAGAGGAAGCAGCCTGACTGAAGTCACGACTGGGGATGTTAAACAGGCTGACACTGGTTGAGAGCAGTAGCATGTGTGTGCGTACACATGTACCGGAGGCACGGGGGCCGAGGGAGGGATGGAGTGGAGACATAAAGCAGGAAAGATCCTCAGGGGATCAGGTCATGTATTCCCTACTAGATACTCAGCAGTAAACCAGGGTGATGAGTCCTAGAGACTGTCTGAGACGAAGGGTGGCAACAGGGACCAGATTGCTCCAGCAATGGGGAAAGGAAGGCTGGAGAAGCAGTGGACTAGGAAGGACTCGAAACACTAAATCTGCCAAGACCCAGGCAACTGTGGCCATAATGATCCTCCAGGACAGGGTGATAGGCACAGTGCTGAACTCCTGGGGAAGCTCAGTACTAACGAGTTAAGTAGGTCGACAGTGGCTGTATGCTGGACGGAGTTCAGTGCCTGCTGATTTTCAGCCCTATCTCCAAGGATCTGCCAAGTAGCAGCGTGAGAACATATCTATGGGTGCTCCAGGCAGTAGTTAATACATAGAACCTGTGGAATGTTCTATTTCCAAGCACGCTTATCAAGTTAAGTTTGTATTAAGCCTGTTAGAAATGAGGGGAGGTTACCAAAAACAGGAGTTTTCTAAGAAATATAGCTATTTAATCACAACACTTATGATGCTTGTATCAAATATCCTTAAACTGACCTAGAAATCTAGAGGGAAAAAATATCAAGCTGTACTTTTCTCAAGAGAAAACTGCTTGCCTTATCTTTGGGTTGAGAGATGATTTTTTTTAAGTGATGCAGACTTCCCAATAATTTTTAGAATATTGACAAATAAAATAGTTGCTAACAGCTATAAATCAACACAGGGCTTGATTTCCTTCAGCGAAGCTTTAAGATTTCTCACCCCATCAAGCCCCACCTCTGCCCCAAGCAAGGTCCCTGAAGTCCCAGAGGGGTGATTATGCTCTTGTCTTGGGCTCTTGACCTCCTAAGCTCTCCCAGCTCTTGAACAGCAAAAGCCAAAGATGGGGTCGCTTCCCATTGCTGCAGCTGGCTCCACCTACAGTCACCCAAACTAAGCCTGAAATGTCCCCAGCAACACTGGGGAAGAACAAACATTTATTTTTAAATAAATTACTTTTTTTCTGGTTTAACCAAAAAGCTTTTATAAAGTTTGGTTTTAAACTGTATGCAAATATAGTAATCTCTGGAGGATTTGGCAAAGATTTATTTTTTTCTATTTCCAGTTTTTTAATGTAGATGCAGCATTTCTTAGACTAATGCTGATTCCAAGAGCCCTCAAAAGTTCAGCACAAGGGATAAGGTTCAATAGAGCAACCCACACTGATGAAGAGTCTGAAATAGACTGAGCAGGTCCTCTGACAGAAAACTGACACTTAACTGTTACTTAACAGTGGGAAGTTTGTCCTTACACTGTAAAAGCATACATATTTTAGTGTAGAAACTCTACTGTGGAGTTTGTATTTGCACCTTGGTTTCCTGGTTCCTGCTTAACAAAGAATAAACGGCATAGTTAAGTGCAGTCTTTACCAGACAACCTCCACTATGTGAACAAAGTCAGATTCCAAGTCTTTGTCAAAGGTGCCGATAGAGGTTGTCAGACGCCTTCCAACATAGATCCGCAGTCCAGTGACCAGCAGATGGGAGAAAACAGCAGAGTCAGAAGAAAATCTTTTAGAAATTTTGGTGAGAAAACATCTCCTTTCTTCATAACACATGTGTTCCTCATGCTGCGAGAGGCCACGTGCTTCGGATATTTAAAGAAGTTTCAAGTTTGTCTTTTGGAGGGGAGGGGGGTTCTTTTCAGACAGACTTGACCAATCCCATATCCAATCTGAGGTTTTTTTCAAAATGTTTTGTTTCTTGTCTCAATATAATCTTCTTCAGGCTGAGATCTGTTTCTTCCTCCGGTGCTACGAGATGTCTATTTCAGAAACTCTGTCAGTATCCCGTGGTGTCTGTGAGGGAGGGGTCATCGCAGTGGGTGCTCTCTGAGAGACATCATCTAGATTCGTGCTGGGCATCCGGCAGTGTTT